TTGAGGGTCTTCATGGGCCTTCAGATACCTTTGCAGGGCTCTCATAGGCCTTGGTAAGACCGCTAGAGGCCATCGTTGTTAGGGCCCCAATAGACCGTTGCAGAGCCCTCAGATGCCAGCATAGCCCCTGCAGCCTGGTTGTGTTGGGGCCCTCAGAGGCCGTCGCTGGGCCGTCTGAAACCAAATGGGCCCTCAGACTTGAGTTGGGTCTAGGGCCGTCACGAGGGCCCTCAGAGACCGTCGTAGAGGCCCTCAGAGGCCAGTGGGGCCCCTGGAGTCCTGTGGGACCCTCAGCAGTCGTCATGAGGGCCCTTAGTGGTCGTTATAGGGCCGCAGGGGACAGAGTTCGTCGTGAGAGCCCTCAGAGATCATCGTAAGGACCCTCAGAGGCCGTCATAGGGGCTCTCAGAGGCCAGCGTGGCCCCTGGAGTCTCCTTGGGGCCCTGGAGTCTCTGTGGGACCCTCAGCGGTCGTCATGAGGGCCCTTAGTGGCCGTTGTAGGGCCCCAGGGGACAAAGCCCTCAGGTGGGAGCCCTCAGAGATCGTCATAAAAGGGCACTCTGAGGCCGTCGTGGGGCCCTTAGATGCCGCGTGGAGTACCAAACGCGGCTCGGGACACTTCTAGCCGGTGTAGGGGCCCCAAAGACTAGCATGGGGCGCTCCTGACCATATTGGACATCCCGGATGATTCCACATCAGTGTTCGTTTCCCGATCACTGGTTTTCAGGAGAAAATGTATTGGATGGTGCGACGGGCCCCTTGTACGGATTTTGGGGGTGCAAAAAGATATGTTTGCACCCCCATGTTTTTCGATGGGGGTGCAGCTGCACCCCCTGCACCCCCTATTCCGCCGCCACTGGTGGAATTGCAAGTGTCAGTATAAGCTTCCTGCCAGCGCCGGACCAGAGTTTAAACATGCAGGCTGAATTTTAGCATTTATCTTTTAAATTTTTAAACCGTTGAGCTTCTTAGAAGTTGTATGAGCTGTTCAGCTCCTTTTTTGTCCATCACAGCGGGCTTGTATGTCATTTGTCAACCAAAATATCGAATTAAAAACTTTTTATTTGGTCTGGTTACCTCGCCAACTTCTTAACTGAATCGTTTAGTAGCTTTTGATTGGGCACTGCCCACGTTGTCTGTCTAGCTTTTCGTGTCATAGACACTGTCTAATGTCTATGACACGAGAAGAGGCTGCTGACATCGTTTGTCGCGGTTGGATAATATCAATCCACGTCCCAGTGTGGCTGCTCGATCGCACTTTCCCTGGCCCACCTCTCCCACCAGGCTAGACTTTGCCCGGCACAGCCGTCGCCTCAGTGCCTCGGGCGGTGACCCGTTCACAGGGGCTCACAATACGTATGGTACCGTGGCTCTCAAACCAATACAGAACAGTGAAACGCAAAGGCTCACTTTCCATATAAGGCGAACGGCTGATTCTAGCGCCGGGGCTTCATTCATGCTAAGGCGCCCAATCACAGCGCCGCATTTCAGTTAGTGTCGGGCGCAAAAGCTACTATGCTCCGCCCCTCCATCACGTGACCCTGCCCTCACGTGGCCTCAGTCACGTGGTGTTTCCACTTCTTGGCGCATGGCGGCGCTAGTCTCGCAGGGGCGGTGGTAGCTTACTCCCCCGCCGTCCGGGGGTGATGGGTAGCAACTGCTGGTGACTGTACCTACTAAATGTTTCAACTTTCAGCGCTGACGCTTGAAGGTGCATGACGTTTCAATTTTCCTATCTACCATCCATCGAAATGTAGGGATGCGGTGCTATCATATGTAAATGCTTGATATGCACTGTCACCCTCCGCATCGTAACTTCTTTTTAAACAGGTCGTCTCCCCCCAATGTCTAATCACGCTATCTACCAAGCTACTAGGGTTGACTATTAAGTAATGGAAGTGCCTTAAGCAATTAAACGGGTTTGCACGTGCACACATTATTTAGGCGTCATTTCATGCGCCGATCTTTTTTCTATCCAATGGTGAAGACCACATGTCCCTAGCTACTTTTTGCTATAAGCTATCGTCGTTTTCCCAAGAGACCACCCGAACCTGTGGCGCACCACCTGGCAATGGCCAAAGCCGCGCGCCAGCGCCGAGTGCAAGGTCATTAGAACTCAGTTTATCGTAGGGAAAAGGTCTACCAAGATCAGAAAATTTCTTTTCTAAGTGTATGGAGCGACGCAGCCTCCCCACAGACGACATGTCGGTGGTTTCATCGGTTTGAGAAAGAAAGCGCCGATCAGTCTTCTGGCGGCGCAGGAGTGGGTCAAGACGAGGCTGGAATGGTGTGTGATGCTTGAAGGCGATTATGTGGAGAAGTGTATGCTGTCATTTATCGTGCCAATGTGTATTGTTATGATGAAAATATAGAAATTGTCCATTGTGTAGTCATAACAATAAGCCAATAAGCTCTGATGACCTCGCGCTGGCGCTTGGCGCGCGATTTTGGCCATTGCCAGACTCCTTTTTCATGGTGCGCCGCAGGTTCGGGTGGTCTCTTGGGAAAACGACGATATCTTGGAGCAAAAAGTAGCTAAGGACATGTGGTCTTCACCATTGGATAGAAAAAACATCGGCGCATGAAATGACACCAAAAAAACATGTGCACGTGCAAAACCGTTTAATTGCTTAAAGGGACCCTCCCACCTTAACATTAGATTTGAGTTGAGATAGCCAAAATGGGGTCCCTGGCTCACAATTACCGGTTTCGGCACTCACAACATCGAGAAATGCCTTAAATCGGAAATATTGAATTTCAAAATTGCAGCATTTTGATTCAGAGGGGCTAATGCTTAGGAATACCCCTCTGAATGTGTGACGTCAGCGCAAATATCTTACGATTTTTTTAATGTTTGACTAAAACGTTTTGTAGCACGCGGTGGTATATGCTATTTGCGCGCAACATCTGCCGCAAACGCCGCACTTCTAAAATAAAGTCGCTAGAAACAGCGGAGATCCCAAAAAAAAGTAAACAAAAGTAAAAGTCTAATATCTTGAAAACCGGTGAATATTTTTCGGTGAAATTTGGTAGATATTCGTTTTCGCTCTTTCTGAACCGAGCGACATCACTTTCATGCCAATTCATAAACTTTTTCGAAGGTGGGAGGGTCCCTTTAAGGCACTTCCATTACTTAATAGTCAACCCTAGTATTATACATGAGCCCGTTACAAACTCATCATAACCTGGCCAACGGCATGAAACATATTTACGATATCTGAGAAGACTTGTATCGCGCTAAGTAATAATTCTGGAATCAAACACTCATTCCTGATAAGCTCGTTACATACTGATGCATTGAAAATATGTCAATATATTGCTTCACGCACTAAAGAAGTATAAAAGCGCGTTTTGGTATTCAACTGATGTCCGACTTGCACTATACATGAACTTCTTAGCAAACATTCACTTCCTTAGCCCGCGAATGACTGGGTGGGGGGTGGGCGGCTCTATAGAGCCCCCCTCCCGTTTTTTTGGAAATATCTCCCTCCCGTTTTTCGGAAATATCTTCTAAACCATTTGACGAATCAACACGATACTTGCGGTACCCTCGGTAACATCTGCATTATTGTGAAATTTTACAACTATATATTTTTCAAAACCATTTTTAGTACGTTTTAGACTTCGTACCGCAATATTAATGGCACCATCGTGTTTACGAGCTCAAACTGCGTCTGATAGGCACCTTTTTTGTTGAGAAATTTCATTTTCAAAATTTGACCTTTTCTGGGCTGAAAGTGACCTGACCTCCAGTAAATTCAGCTGAAAATGACCTCAAATGACACAGGCGACATTTTTTCGAAATCTGTGGGTAAAATGGACCATAAAACATGCGTCACATGACCGATACATGATATTCAATGTTCGTGACCTAGGATGACCTGGCCTTGACCAGAAAAAAAAATCGAAATCAAAACTAGGTACGCTCAGGGTATCTAAGGCATACGTGTATATCAAGGAGCGCGTAAGCCAAAAATGAGCCTGGTCGGTCTTGTTAGCCGGTGGCCAGAGCCTAAATTGTGAACAAGCAAAAAAGCTGATAATTTTTACTTTGACCTGACTTGTGACGTCATCGGTGACCTCGAGGTTAATGAAAATAAGTTTCGCTGGACAGTTTTCCAGGGCTATCAGACGCCGTTTGAATTTTTGACGATCGGCCCAGTAGTTTCGGAGATAGGAGGGGGAGAGCCCCTCCCACCGTCAATCGCGTTATGGAAAATACCCTAGTCAACTTGCCAGTCCCAATCTCTAAATATGTCAAGGATTGCCAATACCACGCAGTATCAAGGAAGCGAGGAAAGTTAACGAATGTGCCACGCCAGCAGCCCGATAGCTTTGCCATTGGGGTGGACGACGCTTATTCGATAAAATGTTTGATCTAAGTTTTCCTTAGTTCAGCCTTTGAGTCAGCAGAGCTGACGCCTTACAAAACTAGCTCAGATTTTCCCGTCGCTCAGCCGAATGTAGGAACTGGAGACTGGAAAATTATGAGTGAATAAAGTAAACTCAAACTAAAAAGAGGGCTGTGTGCTGCTCCTAAACACTTAGAATTTGAGTAACGCTGAAACATGAAGTATATTAGATACGTTTCCGGGATACATTTTCCTTCAATTATTGAATGTGATGTATAGGTAAGCCAAGCTTGCTGATTGCTGCTTTGCTTCAACTTTTGACTGCAAACAGGGTGGTGTAGCAATACTAGCATTCAGTCATTCTGCCTAAACTTAAGCATACTCTCAATTTGTATGTAAATTGTAAACGGCACCGCCCTTATCATTCACGCAAAGAAGGTGTGTTCATTTCAATGAAGGCCAGTGGACTCCAACAAGGCAACTGTATGCCAATACAGTTACCCATATACCCCATACAAAGCATACCCACTTTCACATGTCGACAACTCATCAAACTGAGTATCACGGGCAGCAGAAAATGGCAATGAGTGCAACAGCGTTGCTCATAACTAAAAAAGTGCCCGGGAAAGCAACGTTAAACCGCATAACGTTATATTACACTTTTATTCAGTAGCACAATAGCAAAAATATTCAGCGATTTTGTATATCAAAACGTCGCCCTAACAAAAATAAATGCACGATTACAACCCGAGCGCATAACAGAACCCGAGAAAACTCGCTCCCAAAATCAATACATACCATGCACACTTTCTCAACGAAATATATTGATGGTGCTCTTTGAGCCCGTCAATGCTTTGCAGTGCGCTGATTACATCTCTCACAGTAGAAATGTCACGGATAAGCCACGGATAAGTCGCAGTATACTTACAGTGCATATCGACACGCTTTGCAAGGTTGCGTTGGGTCAGCTTTGACGATAACCACGGATGAAAACTAGATGGCACTTCCATTGACTAATCCTATAACCCTATTCCTGGCGGGGGGGGGGGCCTCAGGAGCCCCCCCCCTGAGGTTTTTTGGTTATTTCTCCCAAACGCGTTGAGCTAGGAAGCTCAAATTTTCTGACTTTTCCTAAAAGGCTTCTACGCAACATGTCTGAAAATTTTGAGTTGATCTGACCTCAGGTCAGTTCACCAGAGGCGGTTTGGTGACCCTACCTCAGAAAAGTTTGCAATCACGCCAGAGCTAGAGTTTTTGATCGATCAATTTCTTCTCTTCAGGGTTTAGTTAGGGTACCAGTATGTGCAATTTGTATATCTCGGAATTTTGATATCGGTGACCTAAGGTCAGGTCAATTTCGCGACCTCCCCATTATAAGTCAATGGGGGAAAAATCAACTCCCTGTTTTTACCACTAAAACGGGTCGGAATGGCCCCATATACCATACATGACTTCATATACGATCAACCTTCACTACCTTGAGGTCTGTTTTGCTGTTGGGCAGCTGTGAGGTCATGTGACGTCATCAAAGGTCACCAAAGGTTTTTGGCCAATAACTCCGTACAGGAACAAGATACAGACGCGTGGATAGTCTCATTGTGTTCAGCTCGTCAAGACGCATCGAATGATATACATGATGACCTCGAGGTCACGTGACCTGAGGTCAACCTTTGACCTTGACCTTTCGAGGTCAACATATATATCATTCGATGCGGATTGACGAGAGGATCACGATGATGCCCTTAGTTTGTTCTTATCTTGACTAATTCGAAAGTTATTCGAGAAAAACTCTCTCCATATCTAGCGCCGCCATTTTGACTTTTTCGACCCCTGTGACGTCATCTTTGACCTGACCTGAAAATGACCTTTGTAAAAATTGTAGATCTTGGCCGTGCGTATCCGATCCCGTTTACCGCTTGTCGCTATCTTGCTTCGTTCTCGAGATCTCAGGGGGGGGGCCGAATCGCCCCCCCCCCCGCCAGTTTCTTGTCCCGGCGGAGCCCGCCAGGAATAGGGTTAAGGAATACATATTGCACTTATTCAACTCCAACAACATAATGGAATCCCATGATATGCAAAAGTCTCATTTACTAATAGGCATTTTATAACATACGAGTATTTCATTCATTGCTTATGATTGTCGATTTTTGGGGGTCTTGTTGCAGGACACACATAAATCAGACTATGAGAGTTCAACTGTAACTGAAATAAGTAATATTATTAAGTGCTCGAGCGAGGAACATATTGAATATAATTAGATAAATAAATGAAGTTGACCTTTTGGCTTTTCCTCAACACCAAAAATGTAAAAATATATTATTCGTTTTTTTACATATTTGATGTCGAAGAAAAGGTCAGCTTCTTTTATTTATCTAATTGTGACTGAAATTAGTCTCGATTTACTAGCTAACCTCGCAATACAATATTTTAAACACAAATTTTGCAACACATGCCTATGTACTTCCAAGACTCACATCGTACATCCATCTCAAGCCCAGCACTCTTCTACATATGATTGCAAGCGATTTCTTTAGAAATTCAGAGACACAAAATATACATGGATCTCCCATTAAGCTCGTTACTCCATCAGCGCCGGCCGTTGGTCGTCATTTCATCAGCCCGTTGTAGTTCCGCCATCAGTCGCCGCTCACAGGCGTCCTACTGTGGTAGGTGCTTGGCGAAGGCCTCGTCCAGAACCTGCACAGTGAAGTCGACGTCCGCCTCCGTGATGCACATCGGCGGCTTGATGCGAAGCACCTGAAAGGGAAGGGATAAATTGATGGTCGAGAGCATTTGTTTTTTTTTTTGTTTAAAAAAAGAGCATTTGTTTTCTAACCATAGCCAAATTCAAGCTTTCCTTGAACCGGGAGCAGCGCCAGAGCATGGCCCTATAATCCCTATAATAAAGAAAACTATAATCCAAAACCTTCTAATGCCATGCTTTTTTTCCATTTTCATGCTGCACATACGCAAAACAAAGGAGAAGAAAGACCACTAACTTGTTTCCAGTAACAGTTCCACCCTGCCTCGGTCGAAATTGCCCATTTATTATATCCATCAACAAAGTTCGCCCGAGACTGGCTCGACAGCCCTGTTGTTAACTCACGTTTCCGAAGTGTCCTCCCTTGCCGATGAGCAGGCCGCAGTCCTTGGTGTGCTCCCAGACGTCTGCTACGGCGGCGGCGGCGAGTGGCGCGCGAGTCTCGCGGTCCTCCACCAGCTCCACACCCAGCATCAGCCCCTTGCCACGCACGTCCCCCACGCAGCGGTGCTTGTCCCGCAGCGCGGCCAGGCCGCTGAGCAGGCGCGCGCCTGTGCGGCGGGCCACCTCCTGACAGCCGTCCTCCTCCAGAGCCTGCCGGCAGCCGAAGCGCAGATCAACTTATTGGATCGTCGTCATCGACACAGTCGTAAAGTATTTGGATATACTTGTTCTTCGTCAATCAGAGACAAGTCCCCGTTCCTATAGTTAAACGTGTCCCCACTCACCTCGCTGTCAAGTCAACAATGCCTCCGCATCAGCACAGTGCGAGATGTGAACTAGCATCTAGCCACAAGTGTGATACGCGGCAGTCTGGTGACCCAACTCACATCCAGCACGGCGATTCCCACGGCGGATGAGATGGGCCCTCCTCCGTATGTGTTGAAGTGCAGCGCCTCAGACATCCTGGCCGAAACCTACCGACAGAGATGGCGTGGAACTAGTCAGTAAAGGTTTATGACGTATCAGACATACCTGAACTCAGTTACGCTCAGAATAGCAATGGTGTTTCAAGTCAGCTCGAGGGAAAGGGCCAAGGGGTGTCCTGTCTGATCTTTACATGACGGACGAGTTTAGACTTCGCGGGAGGAAGACTAACTTGCAGCATCAGAAGATGTTGCAAGACAAGGATAACTATAGTGGGAGGAGAAGACTGCTGAATGTGCAGCAGCGCTAAGACAGACGCCAGTCGGAAAAGGAGAGGTAGCGATGTTAGGAGATGTTGCAGGGCCAGGAAAGGCAGCACGATCTCCAAATTCCCACCTCTTTTGTGGTGACGACGGCCGCTAGCGGGAAACCGTTGCCGATGCCCTTGGCCATGGTGACGATGTCGGGCTTGACACCGTGGGCCTCGAAGCCCCAGAAGTGCTCGCCGGTACGGCCAAAGCCCGTCTGCACCTGTTGAGAACGATGAAGGCCATACACACATGGCTCAGCATACGGACACCAGCCAGAGCTCGAAACAGAATATTCATCAGAATGTGGTGGCGAATCACTTTGGTTTTGAGCGTGGCACTGATGGCAATGCATCGTACGGCACTTCATGACTTCAGTGTCATTATGCTTTACTGATAAAATATGATAAACAGGAAATATACTGAAGCAGCGTAGCCATTTCTATAGGTATCATGTCTTGATCGAACTCGTCTACGTCAACTGCGGTTCCAGACAATTGGTTGCTTAGAAAACCATTCCTGCCCTCATCCAACCCCGCGCGCTTAGCCAACAGCCTGCCGCAGCCCTACCTCGTCCATGACCAGGATTCCGCCGTGGTCCCGGATCAGGGCCTCTGCTTTCTTCATGTAGCCCTTAGGGAACTGAACGGTGCCGCCAACTCCCTGTCGAAATAGAGGGCCGGCGTCAGACAGGCCACTCACAGGCCACAGTCAATTGTTGAGCAGTCCTAAACTAGCTGAAAAACACTGTAGCAGCGCGCAATTATCGCTCGTTTCAGCAAGAATAGTTGATTGTCTTCGCGCTAGAAGGAAATCAGCTTTATTTAATTGTTTGTTCCTAACAAACGATCCTGTCGTGTCTCTACACCATTAGTATGGACCTTTGACCTTTCTTCATTTCATACAGGTTTATCTCCTGCTTCGTCACCTGGATGCTCTCGGCGAAGAGTGCGGCCACGCGGCCCTTTGGACACGAGTAGCGCAGCGTCTCTGCCAGCTGGTCGGCGTACTTCTGGGCAGCGTCACACTGTCCCGGCTGACAGTCGCAGTGGCGGGTGGTCTGGACGGCAGAGTCGCGGCACGCGCTGCCGCCCCACAGGCCGCGGTACGGGTCCGGGTTCATCGCCTGCGGGGGGGGGGCAGAGGTCAGGACGAACACCACATACTTGAGACTGGTGCAGAAGTCGGCGTTCAGCTCGCACATAGCCTGGGCTAAACAAAAGTTCATTTTCAGTACAGTTAACTTGGTTACTCTCCATAATAAGCTCGCGTTTTGACACCCACGATATTGGCACTGAATGAAGAAATGCTTACGCAACACTCAACAGTGTACATGGGACAGAAGGGGACATACGTTACTCACGTGATGCACGCCGAACATGTGCGGCACGTTGAACTTCCAGGTGTTGTGCGCCGTCAGCGCCATGCAGTTGGGGCCCATGCCGTGGTAGCAGTTCCGCAGCGAGACGATGTCAAAGTTGCCAGTGCTGAGGCGCGCCAGCATCACGGCCAGGTCATTAGCCTCCGAGCCACTGTTGACCAGGTGCACTACCTGTGCGCACACCGTGCGTCGGAGGGTCAGGTCACATGGTTTGTCGGAAGGTCATATGCACACACAGCATGCGTCGGAAGGTCATATGCACACGCGGTGCGTCGGAAGGTCATATGCACACATGGTGCGTCGGAAGGTCACGTCATGCACGCATGGTGCGTCGGAAGGTCAGGTCATGCACGCGGTGCGTCGGAGGGTCAGGTCGACCTGTACACGCGGTGCGTCGGAAGGTCAGGTCATGCACACACGGTTTGTCGGAAGGTCAGGTCATCCACACGCGGTGCGTCGGAAGGTCACGTCATGTACACATAAATGAAATGCACCATACGATAGCCGATGCCGAGCCAATTCCATAAACCTATCGTTTATCAAATCGGTTGATGGCCTTGTTTTTAATCATGTGTTTTTGTTTTAATTGACGGTTTGAGCCAGAACTTCGTGAAACATAGACAAATTTTGCTTCTCCCGTTTAAAGATTGGTACCGTAAGAACAATATCTAATGAAAATGGGTTCATTTTTTTTTAGAGTCGTCATGTCTAAGACACTGCCGAGAATATTGTGTCGGTGTTATGGTGTCGTAGTGTTACAACATCAATATAGTCGAAAATAGACCTTACACCTGACCTTAAAAGCCAGTCAATCAAACAAGACAAATCTTTAACGAATCAATCTCTTCAAAAACACTAAAACTTGTTTTTTTCGCTGGAGTCTATACCTCATTTAGGAGTGATACGGCATGCTTCCGCGGTCATATCAATTATCAACACTCGTCTCTCCATCTGTGCTACCGCCTAATGCAGCGTTACGAAAAAATATGGAGGATGCAGAGGGGGGGGGGAGCGAGGGAGGGTGGCGTGTTCGGCTCCAGCCCGACCATCTTGAACATCTTGAACTATAACGCGTAACTATCCTGACAGAAGCGAAAAAAACAGTAGTTCCTTTTCATCAATTGCCTTATTATGACCTTACATGGGTGACTCAGTCAGCAGCCGCTCTTTCTCAGAACCACAAAAAAATATTGATGCCATGTCGTGGCAGCATTATCTTCGATGTACAGTCTGTCTTAAAAGTACCGCGCAAAGTGACGGTGGATCAATCAAGCCTGACCGAGGAAGGGCCTGCTATAATTTGCAAATCACCGAACCAATTGACCTGGGGAATGGACGAGGATGTAAATTGCTTCGGTGACTTAAATTTAGCAGGCCCTTCCTCGGTCAGGCTTGATTGATCCACCGTCACTTTGCGCGGTACTTTTAAGACAGACTGTACATACATTCCACGACCTTTCAGGATGCCATCATAATCGCGGGTGTGTCAAAAAGATAAGGTCTAAGTAAGGTCTTACACACGTTCAAAAGCTCATGTAAGACGGTTCGTTGACCTCAAAATATCGCCAACAAAGCATTAGATACAGTTCAATGCTGTAATGCAGTGAGTCCTGCATGACAATGCAATACACATCAACACTAATTATAATGCATTATGACGAGGTATGTGCCTAAAGAGTCCAACTTCCACCATTTCGGCCCATACCCAGAACAGGTAGGCCATGAGACCCCGCCGAACAGACACCACGGTATCACGACACTCCTAGGAAAAACAAACTCCTACCAATTCACGCGTGTTTGCTTAGTAGACTTTCGGTCGCTGGGGGATACTGAAATCCTTCTCCTCCACGCCGCAACCCCCCTCCGGGCTGGACAGGCAACTTTATCTCATGCGGGCTGCTCCCTTGGAGCGGCACCGCTGCTCCTGAGGGAGCGCACCCCGTAGCCGGGTGCAGTGAGTGCCTTGGGGCTGGGTGGCCTGTCTTCTGGACGGGCTCAGCCCCGGCGACTCACTAGGGTGCCTGCCCAGACCAATGTCTCCCCCTAATTCCTATCATCCTTCCGGCTCTGCAATGGTCTTGTCGACCGAAAGGGCCTAACCCAACAAAACAAACAAACAAACAATCGGTCGCTGGGAGCGATCGCAGGTATTTGAGACTAGCGATGGGTTCGCAAGCAAAGCACTTTGTAGGATAACGGACCGAATCGATGCATAGAACCACGGACCGGACCGATACAATCCGCCTGTATTGAGGAGCTCAAAACAAAGGAGCACTGCATAATCTATGAGCCAATCGACACCGCCAATGCTCCGAAAAATACATAGCTATCGACTCTGACGTCGGTTTTCGCGGCATTGTTTTCTTTGTTGGTGCTGTCGTTACGCGGCAGACCAAAGACGCAACAGACCCAATTCGTTTCACCGGCATTCCGCCGTTTGTCCGTTGATATTGTTGGGCTTAACGACATTGTACTTCTTTGATACCTTTATTGATAATTTCCCCCTCCCCCCCAAAAAAAAAAACTAGGCACCTCAATGGACAATAAGTATTGATCCTGTCCATCATTCTGCTTTTTGCACCAGGGAGCGTATGAAGATGATGTCGTCTTACCTTCCGTCCGTTCTGTCACTTACCCTAATTGAGCTAGAGCTTCGCTCTAGTTTCGTATAGCTTCGCGAAAGCTCCGGTGGAACCCGCTCTCCTTAGGTTAACGACTTACTTTTTAGGTGACAGAGTATGGAGCTTGTATTGCGATACGATTGCGTATTGCGAAATGCGAGCTTCTAGACATCATTTTATTACGATGGCGGTTTATTTCATTTATTCTTGATTACGCTTTTATCTTGTATGAATACAACTGTTGTCTTTTTACAAGGAAGGAGGGTATAGTAAATGCAGTGACCGCTGTTTTCGAACCTGTAAGTGGCTGGGTAATAAGAAATGTTGCCGCGGGAACCTACAGGTAAACAGACGGGCTGGTATTGGGATGGTCACTGCTTGCCTGTCGGCAGGTGGGACGGCTGGGTGGCCAGCAGCTGCCTATACCTGCAGGTCACTGGGCTGCTGCTGGCTGCTGCTGCTGGAACCCTACCTGCAGGTGGTCGAGTAGTGTTGGCAACTGCTGATGGAACCCTACCTGCAGATGGTTGAGAAGTGCTGGCAACTGCTGATGGAACCCTACCTGCAGATGGTTGAGAAGTGCTGGCAACTGCTGATGGAACCCTACCTGCAGGTGGTCGAGTAGTGTTGGCAACTGCTGATGGAACCCTACCTGCAGGTGGTCGAGTAGTGTTGGCAACTGCTGATGGAACCCTACCTGCAGATGGTCAAGTAGTGTTGGCAACTGCTGATGGAACCCTACCTGCAGGTGGTCGAGTAGTGTTAGCAACTGCTGATGGAACCCTACCTGCAGGTGGTCGAGTAGTGTTAGCAACTGCTGATGGAACCCTACCTGCAGGTGGGAGAGCAGGGTGGCCAGCAGCTGCCTACCTGCAGGTCACTGAGTATAGTGCTGGCTGCTGGCTGGTGGCTGCAGATGGAACAGAAGGTCACCTGCTGGGGCCTTACCTGCAGGTGGGAGGGTGGCGTAGCCAGCAGCCCCTCGGTGTACTCGTGGTGTACACCCACTGTACCTGCAGGTGGGAGGGCAGAGTGGCCAGCAGTCGCTCCGTGTATTCGTGGATCTGCGGGTGCAGGTAGATGTTGGTCGTATGCCACAGACGGGACATCTGGCGATGTGCAGCCTCAGTCACCTTCCTGAGGGGGACAGGGAAAGTGTCACTGACAGTGGGTGACAGTGTCGGTACTGACAGATATAACAGTGTCGGTACTGACAGATATAACAGTGTCGGTATACTGACGGGTGACAGTTGTAACAGTGTCGATACTGAGGGGTGATCTTGGCGACAGTGTCGATACTAAGGGGAAATGTTGGTGACAGTAGTGACAGTGTCGGTACTGACTGATGACAGTGTCGGTACTAACGGGGTCGGCAGTGTCGGTATATTGACGGGTGGCAGTGGACGCTGACGGGGACAGTGGTGACAGTGTCAGTCCTGACAAATGTGACAGTGTCTGTATACTGACGAGTGACAGTCGTGAGTCTATACTGACGGGTGACAGTGTCTGTATACTGACGAGTGACCGTGTCGGTACTGACAAATGTAACAGTGTCGGTATACTGACGGGTGACAGTCGTGAGTCTATACTGACGGGTGACAGTGGTGACAGGACAGTGTCTGTATACTGACGGATGACAATGTCCGATGCTGACAGTGACAGTGTAAGTACTGGCGGGTGACCGTATCGGTATACTGACGGGTGACAGTGACCGATGCTGACGGTCACGATGCCACCGAACATGTCCAGGTAGCGCCGCCCGGTGTGGTCAAACAGCCACTGCATGTGCCCCTGGTGGATGATCACCGGCTGCCGGTAGTAGCTGAGCAGTGAGGGGCTCAGGTTGTGCAGCCGCACGTGACTGATGACCGTCGGGTCGGGACCCTGCCGGACAGGGGTCAGGGGTCAGCGACTCAGCGGCTAGGGGTTAGAGGTCAAAAATAAAAGGTCAGGGCAGCTTAGGTCGGTGGTCAGAGGTTAGATTAGAATTCAGAAGTCAGAGGGCAGAAGTCAGAGGTTAGATATTTGAGGTGAGAGGTAATGAGTAACATGTCAGGGTCATAGGTTAGATGTCACAGGTCGAAGGCTAGTGTTCAGACTTCAGAGGGTATATGTAGGCAAGAAGTTAGAGGGCCAGACATCGTTGGTCAGAGGTCAGAGGCTATTGGGCACGGGTCAAAGATCAGAAGATAGAGGCAGAGTTCAGAAGTCACAAGGCCAAAGATCGGGTACAGGGGGTTAGAGAACTTGAGGTCTTGGCGCGGAGTCTGTCCCAGTCCACTCCACATCTCAGACGTTCAAGCCGGCGCGGTGTTGCGAGTACACCAGCATCCTACTTTTAGACATTTGATTGCCTTATATTTGGAAAATCACTCATCAATTGTGCAATTAGAATGCAATGTGCTCGCGGAAGCGATCAGAGGCTGTGCTATAAGCTTACAGGGGATATTAGGCATTTAGAGCAGATTGGCTGTGATCGTCTGAGATTAAGCCGAGACCGGAGAGGAATCGCCGATGTTTAATTCCGTTCAGACCCCGACCACTCGCCCTAACCGGTCATGACCTGGGTGCCACTGACTGACCAGCGTGACAAGTGTGTGGCTGCTCGTATGAGACTCTTTCATACCTTGTACGGCTCAGGCACAAAGTCGCAGGGCGGCATCTCTGGCGCAGCCGTGGCCAACGCTCGGACGCGGCCTGTTGAACACAGGAACTGTCATCGGGAGCTGGTCGCAATGTCAAGGTGCATTGTCATCAACCGACGTTTTAGATATTCACGTCAGTTGTTATAACCGGCAATGTGTCATAGCATGGCAACGCATTTTAGGTTACATTTACTAATAAGTGGATTGGTATTGGTATGGCGCCCCTTTGCTGTCGTCAACAGCTACAATTCTAATTCTAAGCTAAGCGCACTAGCAACTGATTAGGTGTATTCCGATGCGCCCAGCAGCGCTGTAATTCTTCAGTTCTTACCTTGAGGGCCATCTCCGACGGCAGGCGCTGACAGAGAGCGTTTGCTGAAAACGACAGAAATAATATGTGGTTAGAATGATCATGCACTGACAGCTGACAGCCAACTCACAGAACAACAAGCATACCATACTCAGTGCAATGGCTAAGTGAAGAAAAAGTAAGGTAGCTTGGTCCCGTCTTCCTAGAAGTCAGAGCGAATTACCAGCAATTGTTTGCGCCTTTTATAAAATATCCCTACGAACTAATCTCAAACAGGCATAATGGTGCACATCTATTCTACTTGTAGCATGACGACGTTTTTCTATTCATTTTGCCAATAATTCCATCCATCTTTCAAGCAAACCATGCTATTATATTCATTTTGTCTCCCACTGGGAGTACAACAATCGCGATTATCCACCGACCGTCGAAGTGAACCACTGTCGGGTAACCGCAATGCCCGTCCAAAAGACGAACGGTACTTGGATTCGATCTCGGGTCCTACTGATTTCAGAACAAGTAGTGAGTCACTGGCACTACGAACATCGCTAATAAAGATTTATATTGCTAATTGTTTTGTCAATGAGCAGCCTTCCTTAAACACCAATCAAATGATAATGTCTTGGTAGCTATATCCTAAGCCTTAGGTTGACCATGGGCTCTATAAGTGCATAGGTAAAGATTTAGGTCGCTGAATGGTGACAAAATTATCATGTACCTATAATCTTATACTATTATGACTACGAGTATATGCATTACATAATTTACATTTTGCCCCGTAATCCAGTTGCGAGAATATGATGCTCGAATTGTATATGAAACTGAACACCCTTCTGAGCCCAGGTGAATAATATGAATATACCTAAGCCTATGTATAACTCACCTCCAGACAGAATAATTATTTTGGTACGAGTATATACTTGACCCGATATTCTCATGGGTCACATTTCTCATTGATTTCTTAATGTTCATGATTTGTAAACAGTCCATAGCACTTTGAATGAGGGCACATTGTCGTCTAGCATTACTTTGCCCCGATTTCCCAAAGTTGACCTATCTTGAAGCCTTCGCCTGGTCTGTCAGAAATTCTGTCGTCGTAAAGAGCACAAGTTCAGATTAGCTGAAGCACCGCCTGATAAACAGGGTCGTCCATCAAACCTGAGCCCACACGGCACACCATCGCTCGCGAGAACTCAGTATAGGCTGGTTTACAGGAAGAGGGATCGCCGCATATCGATTTTGCTACTGAATTGATCCGTAGCCTTTAACCCGCGCGGAGCTGGGGGGGGGTAAATTTTACCCCCTCGCAAATTTTTGCAATATCTCAAAAACGGCGGCGCGTAGCGCCGCCAAACTTTTAGTACCTTTTCCCGTACATCAATTTGACACGTTCCCTGAAAATTTGAGCGAAATCCTTCGGAAATTTTTTGAGAAATTGACGTTTTAGTGACGTCATGTTCGCCATTTTCGCCTCAAAAACGGTAAAATTTCAAACGCCGCTAACATCTTCATTTTTAAGGAAATCATGACGTAACAAAAAAGGTTATACGTGATTCTACTTTGTCTATCAAATTGCTATCTCGTTTTTTTTAATTTTTGATTTTGGCCCAATTTTTTTTCAAAAAACTGACTTTTTTGGGAAAATAATTATAAAATCCAAAATTTTGCGTGTATCGAAGAAACCGGAATCTATGTCAGCGAAGTGGTCCATGTGCACCTACATACCAATTTTTAGAAGAATCGGTTCAAAAATGTGGAAACTATTCAAAATTTTATGACGTCACGACAAACAAATTTTTTGAAAAATGATTTTTTTGAAGTTCTAGACCTCGTACGGAAACAAAATAGCACCATGCGATTCACCATGAAAAACTGCATCAGATAGACACCTTTTTAGGCCTTAACCCTATTCCTGGCGGGCTCCGCCGGGACAAGAAACTGGCGGGGGGGGCCGATTCGGCCCCCCCTTCAGATCTCAAAAACTACACATCGCAGCGACAAACGGTAAACGGCATCGGATACGCACGGTCAAGATCTACAATTTTTACTCAGGTCATTTTCAGGTCAGGTCAAAGATGACGTCACAGGGGTCGAAAAGTCAAAATGGCGGCGCTAGATATGGAGAGAGTTTTTCTCGAATAACTTTCGAATTAGTCAAGCTAGGAACAAACTAAGGGCATCATCGTGATCCTCTCGTCAATCCGCATCGAATGATATATATGTTGACCTCGAAAGGTCAAGGTCAAAGGTTGACCTCAGGTCACGTGACTTCGAGGTCATCATGTATATCATTCGATGCGTCTTGACGAGCTGAACACAATGAGACCATCCACGCGTCTGTATCTTGTTCCTGTACGGAGTTATTGGCCAAAAACCTTTGGTGACCTTTGATGACGTCACATGACCTCACAGCTGCCCAACAGCAAAACAGACCTCAAGGTAGTAAAGGTTGATCGTATATGAAGTCATGTATGGTATATGGGGCCATTCCGACCCGTTTTAGTGGTAAAAACAGGGAGTTGATTTTTCCCCCATTGACTTATAATGGGGAGGTCGCGAAACTGACCTGACCTTAGGTCACCGATATCAAAACTCCGAGATAAACAAATTGCACATACTGGTACCCTAACTAAAGCCTGAAGAGAAGAAATTGATCGGTCAAAAACTCTAGCTCTGGCGTGATTGCAAACTTTTCTGAGGTAGGGTCACCAAACCGCCTCTGGTGACCTGACCTGAGGTCAGATCAACTCAAAATTTTCAGACATGTTGCGTAGAAGCCTTTTAGGAAAAGTCAGAAAATTTGAGCTTCCTAGCTCAACGCGTTTGGGAGAAATAACCAAAAAACCTCAGGGGGGCTCCTGAGGCCCCCCCCCCCCGCCAGGAATAGGGTTAACAACCAACTTCAAAATTTGACCTCACTTGACCTGATCTTGACCTGACCTCGACCTGAAATTTATCCAGATGTGGTCCATATCACCTACTGAGTGTGCCTATTGAATTCTATGAATAAAATGACCCATAAAACATGTGTCGCACATGCCCTCTTCTACATTTTGTTTTTGGTGACCTGACCTGACCTGACCTTGACCTTGACTTCTGAATGATATTGTATGCAAGGAATGTTGTCTTGGTAGCGTAAGAACACGTTTTGGGCAATCAGTCTCAGTCCATGACTCCATTCTTCGGCAACTCCGGTGCAAGCTGCCGACACTTGCTACAAACTTGAGCAAGTATCCAATATATCCAAGTATCCAATACATATATGTTGAATACCAAATCAATCTATGTGCTAGCATTTGCATGTATGATATGGCAATTACAATAGCTCTAGTCACCTGCACACACCACTTTTCCTTCACGGCGAGCGAACTTCTCCGGGAGCATGACGGCAGTGCAGTGCCTGCAGGAGCATCTTAGTTACGTGTTTTATGTTTCACGGAATTCATGTACCTATAATATAAGTCGTTAAATACTTTGGTTATCGTAAAGGGCAGTAATTTAGAGCGAAAGCGAGGGCGAAGCGAGACTTGACTTTGCGCCCAATAAGCGCAACTGGTACGTTCACATGATCGAATAGTCCAACCAAAGGGTAAACAACATGTTTATGAGAAAAAAAACGTCAGCAGCTTTTGTTCACTAGGATGTTTAAAAAATACATTTATGATTTAATAAAAAAAAACAATGCATTGATATTATTTTCCCTACGTCACGGCAGCGAGCCTTCGGATCCCGCTCCAATATCCAACGCGAACATGACCGGATCAGGATCGGTATACAGCGTCGTCACAGGCCGATTATGTGAAAACTATCAATATCATCAAAATGTTGAGCCCGAAGCAATTATTTTAACGTTTCTTGGTTCTGATCAGGAACTGATGAAGAGCAACGTCAAAATAAAATTATGATTGTAAAACTGTAACATGTCTTTTTTACAATATATTTCAAGCAAAGCCAATCTAACATGCCTTTTTCGCGATGCATACTCACAGTATCCTGCTGGATTTCGCCAATAGCCTCATTTTAACACCACTGAAGCTCCGTTGGTAGCTTCAGCTCCAGCCGCCGGTTGCCCTGTAACAACAGCAGAGGGGGAAATAAGTACACACGTGGGCGTTATTTATTTATATTTATAAGACCGCGTCTTGAGCTGAGTAGGTCACATCGTAGGCATATAAAAACAATTGACCAGCTTCCATAAGCAAATGTTGGCTGGTAGCATAGCGGAAAGCTCATAAAGGAAAATAAACATGGTTTTGTGATGGGGTCGCCGATAACGTTTCCGATTGAAGGTGCCAGCGTGTTTGCTCATTTGTGGTGGGCAGAATGTATGCGCAACACTTATCGCGGACCGTCACTCATAGAGGTTTCGTTTGTCCTCATCATAAGTAGTAGGTATCTTAATTAAGACTAAAGAACGATGGGTGTAGTTTGTTTTCCTTTCAACTACAATAGCAGCAATTCACAGCGATATATGTTTCACATAATTATCAATAATGGTGCTCTTGGAATGACGTCCAGCTCCCGTCCCGAAACAGCTGTCCGTCCCATATAGCTCAGTTGGTAGGCGACACAGTGATGAAAACCAGCAGGTTCGAATTGCTTCAGCACTTGATAGGTATATGGGACTCCTGATGGAGATGGTTTTTGAAAACGTTATTTTCAATTGCTTTTCATCTGCCACCGTTGGCGTCCGTCGGTTTGACGGAGAAATATGAACAACTGAGCAAACAAAACATGATCCAAAAGCGTATTCGCAACAACAAAAAAAATCAGCAAAATAAGACGACATTCGGCTATAAGTGAGAATATTTGGTCCAAGTGACTTGATTTTTTTCTACGAGCCAGTTTGATGTGAACCACTAAAAAATGCGCGTTAAACGAGTGCTTCTCGGTTTACTTTCCGTTACTGTTTGCTATCATAATAAGTCAAAGCTCTTTCTTAACCCGGCACCGCCTGGGCTATTTCCGTACCCACGACAGCCTGGGGGGGGTCGGATCCGACCCCCCCCCCCCTGTTATCTCGAGAACCAATGGTCGTATCGAGCCCCGCGAGGCGGCGTTCGAAAGGTCTCGTAGAGACCTTCCCAAAGCACTCTTAAGATTTTAAGATTGAGGTCAACTTTCGGGTCAAGGTCAGGTCAAAGGTCAAATTCTGGGGTTTTGCATGATTAGGCTTACGGACAGCGGAATCGATAGCTGCTGCTCGAAACTCACCAAAAATGACCTCAAAGGCCTAGTGAAGGTACCATGTGCGTATAGGGGTCATACTAAGTACGGGTCAAGGTCAGGTTAGGTCACGAAAGGTCACGGTTTTCACTTTCTGCTACATGGGCGTGCGACACATGTTTTATGGCTTATTTTTCACGCCGAATCCGATGGCAATGGTTATATGTGACCCAAAGTCACTGTGTTGGTGATAAATGTGCATTGAAAGCATAAAAAATCGTTTATACCATACATAACTAAACGAGGGCTAAGAAAAAAGGTTAATTTTTCAACTTTTTATTTTTGACATAAAAATGCACCTTTCTAGACGAGCTTTGTCCCAGGAATCTAGTGGTGCCATTTGTTTTCACATGCGATGTTCAGAAGTGCCTCTAATTCACGAAAATGCTTATGACGTCACCATGCCCTATGCATGTTGGAGCTATTTTTTTACAATTTGGGGGTCAAAAATCAAGATAGAAAGTTGAAATTTGGGACATCTAATGTTCTATTAAAGCTCTATAAGATATATTCGGTTTTTTTGGAAATTCCCAAAATTCTGGATTTTATTAGCTGTTTTCGAAAAAATATAGTTTTTTGAATTTTTAGGGGTGAAAAACGCAATTTATGGAAAATCCGAAATAGCTATTTTAAAGAACTTGTTCAACTGCGTCCATTCATGTCCTTAATTTGCAATTTGCTTTAACCCTATTAGTGGCAGGCTCCTGGCTACCCCATATTAGTGGCAGGGGGGGGGCTGTTTACGACCCCCCCTTGATATCTCGAGATCTAACCGGCCGATTTTCAAAATTCAAACGGCATTCGATTTCGCTCAACGAGATCTACATTTCTAAAAAAAAAATGTCAATAGGGGGGTAGAGGGGGGTAAAAACGGGCAAATTGCAGATACATTTTAGACTGTTTATTACGGCCAGGTTTCTGAACCAATCTTAACGCAACTTTTGCCGATCGATAGAGAATGAACCAGGAATTCACATGGATCCTAAAAATATGCATTTTCAAAAATCATAGGCGGATACAGATCATTGAGATTGGGGGTACACAAAAAGTATAGTAAATAAGGTTTTTGTTGGTACTGTTTCTAAAAAGGGTGGCAATGGTCTTGTTATGTTACAATTTTCTTATGAGAGAACGACTAAAATTGTATTGGTCATGCATAGGCGGTGTCAGGGCACCTATGTTGGGAGGTAAAAAATAACCCCCCTTTTTGGACGCCTGGATCCGCCTATTATAGCAAAAACGTGTCAAAAGAGGATGCACAATAACTTTGTATATGTTATCACATGATACCTTTCATTCACTGTTCGTAAAACTGGTGCAGCATCGTGATCTTCGCCCAAATGACTCGCTTCACGAATAGGACCCCCAATTCCCAGTGCTCTGGAGCCGCCCCTGGTAAAGTTATGAACTTGAAATTTTCAGGGAATGTGCCCAATTTAGTTTTAGGAAGTCAGAAAATTTCAGCATCGTAGCTTCAGCGGCTTCGGAGATATTCCCGAAAAAAATGAGGGGTGGATAAAAACAACCCCCCTGCCACTAAAAGGGTTAAACCTTGATTTTTTGCGATTTTTTAAACATTTACCACTTTTTGACTGAAAACGCCGTGTAGGTAGACTAAGTTACATCACTAAAATCGATATATCTAAAAAAAATTGGAAAATTTTTCTAAAAAATTACACAGAAGACGTCAAATTGATGGGGGAGAAGGTATGCCAAGTTGTTGATAGCGTAAGCGGTTCATGAGTTATTCAAGAAAAACGGAGGGGGGTCGGATCCGACCCCCCCCCCCCCCAGGCGGTCGCGGGTTAACCCGGCAGGCTATGGGCCTTCTGGCCACCTTCCGCGCGGTGGGGGAGGGGCATTTTTTGCCCCCGTATCTCCGAAACTACTGGATGGATCCGCAAACTTCAAACGGTGTTCGATAGCCCTGTCAACTTTGTCTAACTTCATTTACCTCAGTGACACCGATGACGTCACAGGTCAGGTCAAAGATAAAATGTTTCGCTGTTCACGGGTCTTCTAGGGAATGAGCTATGACATCGAGTTAAACGCATTTTGTCGAAAATCAGCGATAGGGCGTAAAATGCCTAGTTATAGGGGAGACCCGGGAGGTATGGGCCGGTTTTGTGAAAAGGCAATTTTCTTCCAGTGGGCAGTGGCTAGACCCGGTTTTTCACTTTGTGTACGTGAAATTGCCTTTCGCCTGCAACGTGTGCCTGATATTAGGCATCTGGGACCAACTATTTTGTCTCGAGATAACTTTCAATAAATCATGTGCTTTTCGATCCATCAAAATACACCGGGAGGTATGGGCTAATGGCCCGGGAGGCATGGGCCGGTGCCATGTTTCATATTGTTTTCTCGACAATGAAAATAATACTCGTAGCTGGTATAATTATATCTTATACCTTATACCTGGTAATAATACCCGGATCTCTCTTAGAGCCCAGGGCCGTATTCACGTCGACTTCGTAAGTCGATTTTCTTTCTTAACCCGGCAGTTGCTGGGGTATTTCGCCACCCGCCGTTTGCTGCAGGGAGGGGCGTTAAACGCCCCCAGCCGATAACTCGAGAACCAATAGGCGCAGCGAAACGCACGAGGCGGCAAACGAAAGAACCCGACGAGAGGCTTCAGATGAGTACTTGAAAGTTGAATTTTGAGGTCACAGGTCGGGTCAAGGTCAGGTCAAACACTTGAAATCGGACTTTCGGTAGCATGGACTTCAGAACCTTGTAATGGGCGCCATTCATCAATAGCACTATCAAAACTGTGCACAATCCTTCATATAAGTGCTACAAGAGTGTCAGATCCATGTAAGGGTCGGTCAAACATAGGTCAGCGTCAAGGTCAGGTCAATCAGGTAAGAACATACCCCCGAAAATCAAAACTGGTATTCGCAGTCTATGACACATGTTGTACGGGTAATTTTGGGCGTAGAACACGGCGGTGACATTTATTTTATCATGCGAGTACGTGTTTGATTAAAAAATATCAATTTAAGAAATACATACATCATGGTCGTGAAGTGTTACGAGAATAACCAAGATTCAGTGCAATGTTTTGGAAAATGTGGAACGGTAATCAACAATCGAAGATAGCCATTTGATTGTACATAACATTGGCAGTCTAATGGCGTTTAAGGCATGTCTGTATGTCTATTAGGTGGTTTTATATGATTTTCGAACATATGCCGTTTTTCGTTGAAAACTCAGAAATCATGACGTCACTAAAACCTCGATATCTCAAAAAAAATTTAGAGCCGATTTTTTTAAAACTTTGGCACAATACACTTTCATCAATTTCCTACAGGTAGGTACCTAAAATTCGGCGCGCCTGTGGCGCGCCGTTTTTAGGCTACAGCGCGGCGAAAAAAGTGGGGGCTTAACCCGCGCCCGGCTGGGGGTCCTGAATTTCCACGCCCTGCTGGGGGGGGGGTGTTTGAACACCCCCCCCCTTGTAACTCGGCTCCTGGGCCACGTAGCGATACGCAGAAGGCGGCGTTCGAAAGAGCGCCAAAAATAATGACGAAATCACTTCCGTCAATTTTTTGGTCAGGTCAAAGGTCAGGTCACCAGAGGTCATTGAAGGCAAAATTTCGCCGATTTCCAGGTCGAATGTCGAAAATTTCCAAGAACCCAACGCATAACTCGGGAACCAATAGAGCTACAGCGCCGCGGAAAAGCGCATTCGATAGCCCTATTAACGCCCTTTCTGAGTATTTCTCTCAGATTTGACCTAACGTCAACGGTTTTGCCTGCAGGGGGCAAAAACTGCAAAAATAGCCGATTTTTTCGGAAACAGTTTTTCTGCAATAACTTTTGACCCAAGCCCTGTACGAGCTTAC